GGTTTTGAGCATCAGCTCACGTGTATAGCTGATTTCCCCGGCGCCTCCCGGCGCCAGAGGCGGCTATGTATCGGGGAATGGGCCCGGCGGCGGGGCCGAAACCAGCTGCATGCCGCAGATTTCGCAACCCCCCTTTCCCTATCCCCCCCCCGGTTCGTCCGGCCCGAGCTGTGGTGCCCGGGCGAACGTTGCCCCCGAGGAGCCCGACCCTGCCCCCGAGCCGCCCCCCCCCCCCCCCGCGCCCCCCGCCGCCCCTCGGCCTCGCCTTCGGCCGCTGTCGCGGGCGCCCCCACCGGCCACGCCGACGAGGGGCTCAGGTCCACGAAGTCGAGCACCGAGGGCAGCCGGGAGACCTCCCGCCACGACGCGAGCGCGCGCGCCGCGTCCCATTTACAGGTGCCATATGCCCAGCTCCCCTCGGGTCGTGAACAGGGGTCATGGCGGAGGGCCTCTGTCCGAAAATTTCGAACTCCGGGGGCCCTTGTACCGGGCCTCGGGGCCATCAAAAAACGACTCAGGCTGAGAAGCTTGTCCCAGGGTCGACGTGAGGACAATATCGTGACCCAGACCTCGGGCCTGCCCTCCTACAGGCGGATGCTGGAAGAACATCCAGACATCATTGAAACATGATCAAGAAAGGTCACGGAAAAAGCACCCAAACACTATTTATTACTTACTGATCTGGAATATTCCTCCTTTAGAGGGAGATGCCCGACTTATCCAACGACCCGAGCATGTCTGGCAATGGCCCCCATCGACGAAACATCTCCGCCTCCGACGCCTGTCGGGCTGGGCGAAACGGGGGGGATAGTAAAAGGGAGAGTTTGAGAATCAGCCCTCGTGACTGCTTTTCCCGGCGCCTCCCGGCCGCCGGGAGGCGCCCATGCATCGAGGAATGGGCCTGGCGGCGGGGCCGACACCGGCTGCATGCCGCAGATTTCGTACCCCCCCCCTGTCCCTATCCCCCCCTTCCCAGACCCCCGACGTAATGATTTGTTCATTACGTCGACCCCCAGAGGTCCCGACCCTTTCCCCATGACCGGCTTTGCATCCTGAGTCGTTTTTTGACGCTCCCGAGTCCCAGTGAGGGCCCCCGGAGGCCGAAAATGCAGGAAAACCTTCCGTCATGATTTTTTCATTACTCGAGGGGGTCTGGGTTCCGTTCCGCCTCCGACGCCTGCGGCCGCGACGCGCGCCGCCGCCGCGGCCGCGGCCGCGCGGGCAGAGGCAGCCGGGCCCCGACGGCGGCCCCGCCGGCCCCAGGGAGGTCCGCCGCGGCGACGCCGCTGCGGTGGAGGGCTTCTCCGAAGGGCTCAGGCGACCCGTCCTCCTCCTCCTCCTCTCTCCTCTCCTCCTCCTCCTCCTCCTCCTTCCCTCCTCCTCCTCCTCCTCCTCCTCCTCATCCTCCTCCTCCTCCTCATCCTCCTCCTCCTCCTCCTCCTCCTCCTGCCCTCCTCCTCGCCTCCTCCTCCTCTCCTCCTCCTCCTCCTCCTCCTGCTCCTCCTGCTCCTCCTCCTCCTCCTCCATCTCCTCCTCCATCTCCTCCACCTCCCCCATCTAACTCCTCCTCCTCATCCTCCTCCTTCTCCTCCTCCACTCCTCGGCCCGCCTTCGTGCGTTGTGCACCGTGCACTTCTGGACCCACGACCTTCGACCTCATCCACCTCCTTCTCCTCTTCCTCCTCTCCTCCTCCTCCTCCTCCTCCTCCTCCTCCTCCTCCTCCTCCTCCTCGGGTCGCTTACGGCCCCAGGGGAAGCCGTGCCCGCTGCGGCAACGCTACGAATCACAACCTGAGTCGTAACACACCCCAGACAAGACCAGGACGGGTGGTCTTCTAGGTCTCCCAGATGGGGTCGGAGAAGATGGGGTCGGAGAAGATGGGGTCGCATCGCCGATGCATCGGCGATGCGTCTCGATTCGAAGCCTGGTTTTCTCCACGCCGACGTCGGCGGTGCATCGCCGACGTCGCAGATGTATCGCCGGTGCATCGGCGATGCATAGCCGATGCATCACCGATGTTTCGCCGATGCGGCATGATCTTCCGACCCCATCTACTCCGACCCTATCTAGGAGGTCTCTAGGTCTTCCCCCGGAATCCGACGTCTCAGCAAAAATTGGAACATCGCGAACAATCACGACTGCAGCCCAATGCTCCATCTGTCGGCGCCATTTTCCGAGCAAGCTCGATATGTGAGGGTCCCCGGGCCCGAATCTGAGCGAAGACACCCGGCTCGGAAATATGGACACGCCATGATCGCAGGGTCGGCCGGTTTGAACCCGTAGTGGCCCTTGCCGGGCCCCCAGGACTCTCATAAACTACTCCTGTGTCCCGCAGAAGTATCACGAGGGGATGACAAAGTTCGGGGGTCTGGCGGGGATAATCAACGAGTTTCCCAGGGAGTGCGATGTTAGCTATAAGTTATGATGATGACGATGGTGCTGCGGCTGATGATGATGATGGTGATGATCGTGATCCTGGGCGCTCATGTAGACTGCCCTTGTAGATCTTGGCACAAGACTGACTCGAGAGATCTCGAGGCTCGTGGCTACAACTTGCCTGCGCGAGAGAGGTCCTTGGCCGTTCTGACCAAGAAACATCTCTTGTGAACGGCTTCAAACCACTCGCCCATGCAGGCTCGGCACCCTTTGGAGCTCGTGATTGCGGTAGCTGATTTGGCGAGACCACCATGGCCATGCTCAGCGTTTTGATACTGTTGCTAGTCAACATGAGACGATAGCAACTTCGATTGGCAACTTCTGCTGTGCATTATCAAGTTCGGCCTCCGCGCCCCTCTCGACACTTAAACCCTATTGAACCGAAATAAAACATAGAGGGGGGAAAAGAGGGGCATGTGTTCTTCCTCCGGGGCACGAGGTTACTCAGGATGAGCAAACAAGCCACGGGAAGAGGGGCAGGACTTCTGGGCCCCCCACACAGGAACAAACAAAATAACGTGAAAACGTTACAACATCGCAGTTTCAAGGAGCGCGCCAGCAGAGACCGGGCCGAGCAAAGGGGGGGGGCGGCGGGGGGGGGATCCCCTCGGCTACCCCCCCACACTTGTACATCCCCTGTCGGGAGACCCCCCCTCTCCTCATTTTTCGCGCTCTTGAAGCTACACCCCGCCCCCTCCCTGGCCTTTGACTCCCCTGCCAGAGGACCCCCCCTGCGAGCTCCCCCCCCCCATGTTTTACGTCCCTGGTTGGAAACACCCCCCCCGCCCCCTTTCCCGCTGGGGCCTCCCCCCCCTCCCCCGCTTCCCCCCCCCCACCCGCCCCCCGCGGCCTCTGCAAGCTCCCCCCCCCCGCCCTTCCTTGGAACTCCCCTACCTGAAGCCCCTCCCCCCTCCGCCCTTTCCTCGCGTTCCTGAAGCTGCGCCCTCTTTGGCTCCGCTGCCCCAGCAGCCCCCTCCCCCCTCCCCTTTCCCTCCCCTGCAGGCTACACCATCCACTGTTTTGCCTCTCCCGTCGGAAAGCCGCCACCCTCTCCCCCCTCTTCTTCGCCCCACGCTAGCTCCCCCCTCGCCGCTGCCCTTGGAGCTCCCCAGTCCGAACCAATACCATTCCACGCTCCACTCGTGGCACGGCCAGTGCCTTGCTTGGCGGAAGGAGGAGCAACAGCACTGCCCCAGAACTCGAATCGCGTGGCAACGTCGGGAGCCGGGCAGCACAACGTTCTACTCCCGTCACACGGCAGCGCCTGGTGGGGCGCTGTCGACGGGGGGCGGGGGCAAACTGGACGAGGGTGGGGGGGGAATGGTTGGGAGGGCGGGGGGGAGGGCCGCGTAGGGGTGAGGGGGGAGGGCGGGGCGCAGGGGGGGGGGGGGGGGAAGGTCCGCGACGGGGGAGGGGAAAGGGCCGCGAGGGGGGAAGGGCCGCGAGGGGGGAACGGCTGGGAGGGCCGGTGGGAGGGCCGCGTGGGTGGGGTGGGCGGGGGGGGCGGGGGAAGGGCGGGTTTCGAGGCATCTGTGGCCGTCGAGAGCCCCTCCTGGGCGTCTTGGGGCGCTTCGGGGCCCCCACGTGGCTACACTCTGGCGGATCGCCGACGGCTCTGCTCTGCTCGCCACGCGGCAGCGCGGGGCGGCGGAAGCAGGCAGGTGGCTGCTCTGCCGATCGCGTGGCCTCGCAGCAGCCAGCGGCCCGCCAGAAAACACCGAGATCCTTCGGGGCCCTCTCACTCAAGAAGCCAGAAGAATCCCCAAGGAGTCGTTAAGGAAACACTGAACTCATTACATCCTTCTCCACACGTCGCATTGCACCGCCTGGGGGGGGGGTCGAAGTCAGAACACTCTACTCGTACTAGCTGCGTGGCAACGCGGGGAGGCAGAGCAAACAAAAAAGTATGTCCGTCAGGTGGCAACGCAGGAAGGCGAAGCCAAACAGTGTTTTGCTCTACCCGTCAGTTGGCAAGCGACCAACGAATACCATCATACTATACTTTTCACGTGGCAGCGCAGGGAGCGGAAACATATTTATCTGCTCGTCACTGAATGGCGAAACGCCTAATTTTCGTCTGTACCCCATAAAGGTGGCAACGAGAAAATGGTTCGGCGACGACGCCGACGACGACCACGATTACGACGACGACGACGACAACGACGGTGACGGCGACGACGAGAACGAACGACGACAATGATGACCACGATGACGCCAATGACGACAACGACGCCGACGATGACGACGACGACGAGGACGACGACGACGACGACGACGACGACGACGGAGGCGGCGGCAGCGACGACGACGACGACCACGAGCTACCCCCCCTCCCTCTGGACCTCCCCGGCCCGAAGCCCACCCCCCTGCGCACCACTCCGCCCCTCCAGTTCTGGGCTTCACGGACGTCTAGATCTTCAAGGACCCTGGGGAAGTCTCCGGGGACTGTCTGAACAGTTGTGAGATCCTTCGGGTCTCCTCCATCGTCGACTGAACCCGTCACGAGGCACCGCAGCGGCGGCAGCACATGAAATGCTACTGTGCTCATCACAGAGCAAGCAACCCTGGGAGAGCGAACAACTACAGCAAAACATGCGATCAAGAACATCATAAGTTGAGAAGCCTGGGCAAATCTGGCGAACGTTTCTTACAACAAAGCTGGGCCAGCTTCTTCGGCGAATGCTGGAGGGGCGAACGTGATCCAGAAACTGGGCCAGCGTTTGGTCAGGAAACGCTGACCCAACTTTCCAGGAGGAAGTTTCTTAATCAGATGCTCGACCGTAATAATACATGATTCTCGCCACGTGGCAACGCAAGGGGGCATAATCACCACTCTTCGCCAACCGTCAACGGGCAACGCAGAAAGCGGAAACAACTAGTATACATCATTCTGCTCTACAATGGGGACAAGGCGCGACGACGACAACGCCGACGCCGACGCCGACGCCGTCGCCGACGACGACGACGATGACGACGACGATGACGACGACCGCGGCGAAGGCGAGGGCAAAAAGACGACGACGAGAACCACAACGACGAAGACGACAACGGCCACGAGGACGACCGCGACGACGATGATGACGACGACGACGGATACGACAACGACGACGACGACGAGAACTACGACGACGACGGCGACGACAAGACATGGCGCAGAATTGCAAGAAAGGGAGAGATGCGGGGGATGGCTTCCGAACCCCTCTCCCCATTGCAGAGGTGTGCCAAGGCTTATCCTCAGCCCGGCAAGAAGGGAAGGGAGCTCCGGAAGCCCCCGCCCCCTTGACCGGCGACCCCCTGCTTGGCAAAAGGGAGGAGGGGGAAGCTTCCGCAGGCCCGAAAGGGGGAGGGGCGTCTGGCTTCCGAAGCGCCCCCCCTTACAGCACGGGAGGCGGGGGGGAGCTTAAGGAACCCCCGCCCCCCCTCCTGACGGAGGAGGGGGGGGGGGCTTCCGAAGCCCCCCCCCCTTGAAAAGGACCCCTAAGCTTCCCAGAAGAAGGGGGGGCTGCTCTTCGGAAGCACCGCCTGTCGGGAGGAAGAAGGAGGGGGCCAGCTTGAAGCGGGGGCCCCCCTTTTGTTCTTCCCGTCTCCCACAGCGCGCCCTTCCGCACGTCGGGTGCACCCGTCTCTTTCCGCCGCACGTTCCGACGCGGTTCGATCCGTCGGGCTCCCGGGGCCCTGGAACCGCGGCAAAATCGCCGGCGACGCAAGGCTGCTGCTGCGACGACGGGCGGCGGCGACGGACGGACGGACGGACGGACGGACCACGACGACGACGACGACGACGACGACGGCGACGACGACGACGACGACGACGACGACGACGGCGGCGGCGGCGGCGGCGGCGACGGCGACGGCGACGGCGCCGACAGACGGCGCCGACAGACGGCGGCGGGCGGTGCCGACGGCCGGCGGCGACCGTCTTCGGCCGCGCCGCGCACGTCGTCACCGCCCGCGACGGCGCCGGCCCGGGCGGCGGGGCGCTCTGCGGCCACGCCCAGGGCAGCATGGCCGCCCGCGGCCTAGCCGCCCCGCGGCGGCCCTCGGGCGATCGGGCGCCGCGCGCGCTCGGGCCGCACGCTCGGGCGGCCTGCCCGGCGAGCAAAGGGGGGGGGAGGTCTGGGTGCTCCAAAGTGAAGGGGCCCCAGGACACACAGAGAAATACACACAAATCAAAGGAGTCCCCATATTTCCCAATATTTTCTGGGGTTGTTGTCTTCCCCCCCACTTCCCATATTTTCCCATATTTCCCTGGGAGTGGACGATTCATTGTGTCTGTGTGTTTTTCCCCCTCCTGACAAGTCTTAAGAGGCAGCTGCTGGCAGGTTTTCGTCGGAAGGACTGAGGAGGGTTCAGCCGCACTGGGGGGCTGTTCTGCTGGAGTGGACCTCGGAGGAAGCAGGATTGCGCTAGATTAAGCGAGATTGAGCGGGACTAAGCAGGAGTAAACGGGATAAAGCCGGACTTCGGTCCAGGGCAAAAACAAAATTTGACCTCCCAGGAGTTGCATCCGAACAAATCCCTTCTTCCCAGACCCCCTCGAGAAAAAAGAAGTCAGGACGGGCCCTCACCGGGCCTCGGGAGCGTCAAAAAACGACTCAGGAGGGTCGGGACCTCTGGGGGTCGACGTAATGAAAAAAACATCACGTCGGGGGTCTGGGTTAATCGCCCGCCCCTAAGAAACCGGACCCCCCTCCAAATGCGACCCAACATTCTGGACTCCCCTCGTCGACGGGGCGCCTCAATAAACCGGGGTCCCAATCCAAAGAAAGCGCCCTAACAACCCAGACCCCCCCCAGTTACAAAAAGGGCGCCTTAAAAAACGGACCCGGGAAACGAGTACGAAAGGATTTGGGGGTTCGAAGGCAACCCAGGCCCCCAGACCCCCGACGTAATGACTTCTTCATTACGTCGACCCCCAGAGGTCCCGACCCTCTCCCCATGACCCGCCCTCCATCCTGAGTCCTTTTCTGACGCTCCCGAGACCCGGTAGAGGGCCCCAGGAGGCCGAACATGGAGAAAAACCTTCCGTCATGATTTTTTCATTGCCCGAAGGGGTCTGGGCCCCCTGGGGCGCTTGAAAACTCGCACGACGGGAGGCTTCTCCGAAGCTTCGGCCTCTGGAGGCGCCCACCGGCCCTCGGGGTCGTGCAGGACCGCCTCGGGACGAGAGGCTGGTCCCGGGGAGGATGGGTCGAGAGCTCTGGGGGTCGACGTCATTGAAGGGGCCCTGGGACACACAAATAAAGACACACAAGTAAAAAGATTCCCAATATTTTCCCATATTTTCTGGGCTTCTGTCTTCCCCACCACTTCCCAAATTTTCCCGTATTTTCTGGGGAGTCGACGATCAATTGTGTCTGTGTGCTTTTCCCTCCTGAAGTAATGCAACAATTTGACGTCGGGGGTCCGGGGAAAAATCCTGGCGGGAGGCTTGGGACCGAACTTTCGGCCCCTGGAGGCCCCATCCAGCCCTCGGGACCGTCAACAAAAAGACTCGGGACGGAAAAACTGGTCCAGGGGAATGGGTCGAGACCTCTGAGGGTCGACCTCGTAGAAATATCATGGCGTCGGGGGACTGGGAAAAGGGAATGGAAGACGAGGGAGCTCCTTACCCAGACCCCGGACGCCACGTTTTTTTTTCAGGACGTCGACCCCCAGAGCTCTCGACCCATTCCCCGGGAGTGGCCTCTCATACTGAAGCGTTCTCGCTGACGGTCCCGAGGCCCCAGGAGGGCCCAACAGAGGCCGAGAACAGCGGCAGACCTTCCGCCACGATGTTTTCATGGCCCGAGGGGAGCCGGGAAGCAGGACAGGGAACGGAGGAGGAGGAGGGAGGCGGGAGGGGAGGGGAGGCTCCGCGCGCCGCGGCGCTGCGCGGAGGCCGCAGACAGCAGCGGGGGGCGGGGCAGGGCGCCGGCAGGCCTGACGTGAGGCCGCGCAGGCCTCCAGGGACGAGCCCTCGCAGCACCGGACGTGCCGCGCCTGCTGTTTGGGCGGCGGCGGGCGAGGGGGAGAGGGGTGCGAGGGGGAGGCGGCCTCCGCGGAGGGCGCCCGGGGCTTCTCCGAGGCCCTCGGGCTCTGCTGGGAGGCTGCCTCTATCTCCGGGGGATATATATATATATATATATATATATACATATATATATATTTATATATATATGTATACATATACATATACATATATATATAGGTATATATATATATGTATAAAAAGGGAGGCTCGGAAGACTGCTCGGGAGGTCGGGAGGCTTCCGAGCCTTCCGAGAAGGCCTCCTCTGGCTGACTTCCCCCCCATCCCCTGGCCCGCCGCCGAGAGGAGCCCGCCACCACCGTGCTACCATCAGGACGGCCAACCGAGGAGCCAAAGGGACCTCTTCTGGCTGCGCTGCGGCGCCAGCACTGCGGGCGCCTCCGCCACGAGCCGGCTCCCCACGGCCTGGACAAGCCCGGGGAGCCGAGCCCTTCTGGAGCCCGCACCGGCTACACGCAGGAGCGACCCTGGGCAACAGCGACCTTTGATGCGCGGCTGTTTGAGCGCCGCGGGGGGACCGAACACAGACGTGCAAGACGGTGCTGTCGCACCGTGCTCGGCGATCGGGGAAGCCCAGTGGTGGGCCTGCACCCAAAGGCCACTCTGGCGAAGGCCCACTCCGAAGTGCGCCTGGCCGGCGATGTCCGCCACTGCCTCCGCGCCTCGACGCCCCGCGGTGCACGACATCGGCCCCGCGGGGCACGCCCCTTCCGGAGCCCAAAGTAGGCACCCAGCCTCGGGCATCGCGCGCCCCGCGATGCGCGAGCTCACGCCCTCGCGCCCCCGCGCCGCCGCCCGGCAGGAGGGCAGCCGCCCTGGCCCCCAGCGCGGCGCGCGACTCGCGAGAGCCTCTTCGCGCCCCCGCGGGGCAATCCCGGCATCGTGAAAGACGGACGGTTGGAAGCGACGTCGGCCCCACCTCTGTGCGGCAGTCCGCGCGCCGGGTGTATCCGCCATGATCCAGGGGACCACAATGGCGCGAGGGCACCCGCCGTCTGTTGGCGACGAGCCCATGTCGGGGCCTGCCTCGGGGAAGGACGGGGAGCGAGGACATCGAAACTACGGCCCGCTTCCGAACCTCCGCCTCCGGAAAAAAATCACGTCGTCTGTTGGCGACAAGCCCATGTCGGGGCCTGCCTCAGGGAAGGACGGGGAGCGAGGGAATCGAAACTACGGCCCGCTTCCGAGCCTCCGCCTCCGAAAAAACATCACGTGGCCACCGCCCAGCCTCCGCCGAGCTCCCGCTGGCTGGCTGCCGCTAGCGGAGCCACCCTCACAATTTACTTCCGTTCCGCCCGTCCGCCGGGGGTGAGGAGGTCCATCTCTCGGCTCCCCGAGTGCGAGGTCCTTTCTGAAACGCCACGCTGATTGGATACTCCAGATTTCGCTATAAAAGGGAAGCGTCTGGACCCTCCAAGACAAGCCATTTCAGACCTCCCCCGTGGGAGAACCCTCCAAAACATCGTCCCCAGACCCCCGAGGCCCTCCAAGATAGCCTGGAAGAGACCCCCCCCGAAATGAGACCCCCCTCCCTTTATTACGAAATCTGGAGTACTGGGCGGGTACGGCAGGTCCACGTGGGGATGGCGTGGGCGCTGGATCCTGACACCGCGTCGATCAGGTCGACCCTGAACGACCGCCGCTCTCCGACAGGCGGCATCATTCGGCACTGGCCGAGGTCAGGCAGCTGGCGGAGCTTGACATTAAGAGGCCGCCCAGACGGGGTCCGAGCAGATGTCGTCGGAGGATCGCGCAGCATCGCCAATGCGTCGGCGATGCATCCACGAGGTCAGGATGGAGAACAAAAAAAGGTGCTCTGGATCTCGCCGCACCGCCGACGCACAGGCGATGCGGCGCGATCCTCCTGCGACCACATCTGCTCCGAGCCCATTGGCGCGGCCTGGGAGCACCGACGAACGCCTGCGCTGGCACCGCCGCCGCGCCAGCGCCACGCGGACCTCATCGTGCACTGCCCTGGAAAGGTACTCCAGATTTCGTAATAAAAGGGAGGGGGTCTGGACCCTCCAAGACAAGCAATTTCAGACCTCCCCCGTGGGAGAACCCTCCAAAACATCGTCCCCAGACCCCCGAGGCCGTCCAAGATAGCCTGGAAGAGACCCCCCCCGAAATGAGACCCCCCTCCCTTTATAACGAAATCTAGAGTAATGCCGCTCTCGCGCGCGGTCCGTCTCCCCGCCCTCCTCAACTTCCATGTCCGCGCGGGCCGCCGCGCGGTCCGCTCTGCTTCTGCGGTCGGCCGCCTGCTGCCTCAACCATGAGATCGGGGGTCTTGGGGGCCGGGAGGGAAGAGTTGCAATACTTTCCAGGGAGGTGTACACTCAACCAGCACATACTGATAAGAAGGACGCACGATGCGGATGCAAGGGTCCTGGAAGGCGATGTTGACACTTTGCAGGCGGGGCGCGGCCAGCGAAAGCGGACAAGGATGGGCCGAAGGGGAATGATGCAAGGGTAACCTTGGGAAGTCGCTCATCTTTACTGATGCGAGGAGGAACAAGGACAGAAAAGGGAAACAGGCTAAGGGGCAGCCGCAGGGAGAGTAGCAGGAGGAGGGTTAATAGGAGGAGGAGGAGGAGGAGGAGGAGGAGGAGGAGGAGGAGGAGGAGGAGGGCGAGGGGGAGCAGGACGACGACGACGACGACGACGACGACGACGACGACGACGCCAAGGATGCAATGGGCACCTGCGAGCTGACTGAGGCACCCAGACGTCCGACGTCGTGACCTTTGCCGCCGCGCGGCCTCCCCAGGGGGGCCCGGGCCCGCTGGGGGCCTGCCTTCGACCCCGAGCCGCCCCTCGACGGCCCCACGGCCGCCGCGGGGGGCCCCCCGAGGGGCAGGGAGGAACTGCCACGGCCGCGCCCGCACCCCGACGCCCGAGGAGATGTGCTCCTTCCTCGGCGCGCGGCCCCCCGCGACATCGCGCAAGACGGCGTCCAGGACGAGGATCCCACCGGGTGCGGATGGATCGAGGGTCTCCTGGATCTGGCGGGTCTGGAGGACGTATCGCGCGCCGCGGACTTGGCAGAGCGTTCCTGCACGCTCTGCGAGCCTTCGGGAAAGCCCTGGAACGGACTGCTCCTCGTCCTGGCCCCGCCCGATCTCGGCCACTTCCCCCCTGGGTCGGTCTTGTGTCCAGGATCCCTGCTCTATCGCCCCAGTGCCCAATATACAGGTAACGTGCACCAGGGTCCGAAACCGAAGGGAAACGGCTGCATTGAAAATCGCTGTCTCGCCGGAGACCTGGGGTCGCTCAAGCTCCGCTCTGCAGGGGGGGGGGGGCGTTTCCCTCCGTCGAACGTCCGACATTTTTCATCGAACGCAAAGGGCGGGGGGGTGTCTTCAATCCCCCCCAGGAGAGGGGGGGGGGGGGCGGAGTTCTCTTCACACCCCCCTCCCTCTGGACGCCTGGAATGGGTACGGAAAAAAGGGGCACAATGCCGATCAACAAATGTTGTCCCAAACCAACAGAGGCCGCTGTCGGACAAACGGCCTTCTGTCTCATCAATGGACACAGGCCGCGGCGGCGCGGACAGCGATTCCTGTCCAAAATGAACAGGAACTGCTGTTGGGTATTGCGCCCAGTCTTTCCGTACCCATTTCGTTCGTGCCCCCTCCCGCTAGGATTAGGATAATAATGAGGATAAGGATGAGGAGGAGGGGGAGGAGGAGGAGGAGGAGGAGGAGGAGGAGGAGGAGGAGGAGGAGGAGGAGGAGGAGGAGGGAGGAGGAGGAGGTGGGGGGAGGAGGAGGAGGTGGGAGGAGGAGGAGGAGGAGGGAGGACGAGGAGGGACTCGTGGTTCAGTCCAGGGCGCTGGAGGGTCCTCGGGCCACAGAGCCCGGGCCTGCCGCGGCCGTGCGAGGGGCGCTGCGGGCCCCCCTTCGGTTGGAGCGCCCTCGATGGGGCGAGGGGCAGAGCTGCCGGCACGCCCCGCTCGAGACTCGCGAGACATCTCCGCGGAGTGGCGAGGGCGTGCCGAAGCCTCGAGCGAAGGCCTCGGCGCGGCTTCTCGCGGCGCGACCTCGGTCGGAAAACGCCTCGACCGGAGTCTTTTTTCGCGTGACCTCGGCGGCCTCGATGGAGGACCTCGATGGACCTCGACCTTGATCGGAGACCTCGATCGGCGGTGCCTTGCCTCGAGACCTCGGTCGAGGACCTCGATCGAACTAGGCGCGACTCCGACGGGACTTTTCACGACGAAAGCCTCGATCGAAGACCTCGACCGCCGACCTCGAACGGCGATTTTGACGCGATCGACGAAATGAGCGGGTCTTACGCAAGATGACGTAGCGAGCTCACGCGGTGGCTTGCGCGGGCCGCAAGCGCGGCACGCGCACAGTGGCAACGAGTGCGCTCACGCGCGACCCTGCGCGGACAGCTTGCGCGCCAGCGTCGGTGAATAGAGGGCAGAAAATCCACCCCGAGAATGACCACCCCGACACGCGGAGCCGTTTAGCAAACGCACCAACAAAAGGAACCCAAGAGGGCAGGGCTGTTTCATAAACGCCCGAGGCCGTTTGGTAAACGCCAATTGTCCGGTCTGGGTGGTTCTCCTCCCTTGAGTGAGGACGACCCCATGTTCTACTGAAGGGGCCCCAGGACACACAAACAAATGCACACAGATAAATCGATGCTCCGTATGTTCCCATCTTTCCTGGACTCTTGTCTTCCACCCCACTTCCCATATTTCCCCAAATCTTCCTGGGAGTCGACGATTAGTTGTGTCTGTGCGTTTCTTGCCCTCCTGATTCTACGTCGCTCACGCTCAGCGCCCCACAAACGGGGACTCCACTAACGGGTACTTTGGCCAGTGACCCAGCGAACCCAACCCTTCCCGATGCGGGCAACGCTGCACCGCCAGAAAGAGGCCCTAAAGTGGCAACTTTCGGCAAAATTGCAAAGTACCCGTTAGTAAGTACCCGTTACGGTGCCGTTGACACGCGACCTTCCGCGGCGTGCCGGCGGCGGTGGAGGGCGGCCGGCGGGCCTGGCGGCGCTCGGGGACGCCCCCCCGAGGCACGCGGCCGGCGCCCCGCGGCAGCGCTCCGCCGCGGGCTGCCGCGTCCTCGCCACGGGGCGGCCCGAGGAGGACGCCCGGGGACGACGGCGTCGACGAGGCCGACGAGGACGGCGAGGACGACGAGGTCGAGGGGGGCGAGGAGGAGGACGAGCAGGAGAAGGAGGAGGAGGCAGAGGAGGACGGCGACGACGACGAGGACGACGAGGAGGACGAGAAGGACGAGAAGGACGACATGGAACAGAATGAACCCAAGACGCCTCAACGCTGCTGCAAGAAACCCTGCATCCGCGCTCCCTCTTGACAAGCCCCTCCCAAAAAAACGACGCTCAGTAAGAAAAGCGGCCCATTCGAAAACGACCGTCTGAGAATCCGTCGCGCCAGCACACCATTCCTGGGACGTCCACGACGCGGATCACCGTGACGGTTGCGTCCTGACAATTCGCACTTGTGCAGGAACGCCGTCCCTGGGTTTCCAACACCGCAGATCACCCTGACTGTTGCGCCGTGGCAGTCCTCAACCGTGCCAGAACACCACTCGTGGGACTTCAACCGCATTGCACCAGAGCGAAACCACAGTCAGTGCTGTCCTTCGAGTTTTCGCGTGCACGCCACGCCTACCCTCTCTTTCTTGCGGGTAATATTCATATCCATATCCAGTGCGTCATCGACTTTCTTGGAAGGGGCGCCGCAAGGCCGAGGCGCACGGGATATGGATAGAAATCGAGCCTTTGGAGGCTGATTACAATCCATATCCGGTGCGCCTCGTGCTTCGTGCGAAGGGAGCCCGGAACTCCAAGACGCACTGGATGTGGATATAGACATTGCCCGCATTTCTCTTTCTCTCACTCTCTCTCTCGAGTGAGCGCCGGTCCTGGCAATCGTCAGGCTCCGAGCGACTAGGCGGTCGGATTGTTCGGCGGAGTGCCATGATGCAGCACAGTCAGCGGTGCCCTTCGAATTGTCGCGTGCACGCCACGCCTGCCATCTCTTCCTTTCGCTCCCTCTCTCTCTCGGGTGAGCGCCGGTCCCGGCCATCGTCAGACCCCCCTTCTCCTCCTCCTCCTCCTCCTCCTCCTCTCCTCCTCCTCCTCCTCCTCCCCTTCCTCCTCCTCCTCCTCCGCCTCGTCCTCCTCCTCCTCCTCCTCCTCCCCCTCCTCCTCTTCCTCCTCCTCCTCCTCCTCCTCCGCCTCGTCCGCCTCGATCGGGTCGATCTCGTCCTCCACATCCTCGGACCTCGGACGAGGGCGGTCGGAGCGTTCGGCGGAGTGCCAGGACGCAGCACAGTGCTGCGCCCGGGGGGCGAGCGTCGGCTCGCCCGCCTCCGCCTCCGAGCGGTGCGGGAGGCGGGCCGCGCCTGCCTCCCCTTGCGCGTAGCTGTGGGGGGAAAACAAACATTAAAAACACAAACACACACACACACACCAAAAAACACACACACACACACAACAAAGACAAACACAACAAGCACACACAACAAAGAACACACAACAAACACAAAGCACACATGCTTTCCTGTGTGTTGTGTGTTCTTTCTTCATAGCAGCTCCTTCTCTGAATCGAACCTGGGTCGCAGGAAGTTTTTGAGGTCGCCCGCCAGCACCAAGAGCTCAAATTTAATCTTCGGAGAGGTTCAAGGAGGCGAGCGGCGCCTGGCCAAAAGTTGCCCCCCCAGAAGTAAGATCACTTACGCATATCTGTAGAAAAAGGAAGACACACATACGATCGGCGCCCCCGAGGCCGCGATCCCTGGTACAAGCTACAGGATCTGCGCCCACGACGCTCCCAGGCGCTCCTGAAGCACTCCCAAGCGCTCCAAGAGCAAACATGCTCTCCCAAGCGGCACCAGGCGCTCCGCTGGCGGTCCCAAGCGCTCCCAGGCGCTCCCAAACGCTCCCTGACGCCCCCAGGCGCTTCCAAACGCTCCAGGAACGCCCAAACGCTCCCAGGCAACGCCGGGCGCTCCCCGGGCGGCGCATGCCTGCGCCAACGTACAGAACAACTTCTTGAATTTCCGATGTGCAGCCAGCGCCCTCTGAACAGTCCCGTCAGGGCCGTGAACCAAGGCCAGAGGCCGGATGTTTTCTCCATGTTATTCCAAGTCAGTCTCGGGCTCCTGGGCCTCTTCTTGTCCGCTGGATTTCCTTGGGCCTTCCATTCAACAGAGTTCTGGATTGTCTCTTAGCGAGGTCGGCGGGCGCGTCGAAAGATCGGCACTAAGCAACACTTCGCGCCGCACTGAAAGAGCGTTGATCGACTCACCCGCGAGGGTTGTCTCGGAGCGCTGCGAATTTCAAGATGCCGCAGCGCGCAGAAGACAGGGGCATGGTCATTCAGCAGATTCTGGCGGGCAAAAGTCGAGGATCCCATGGGCGAGCAGTGAGCATATTCTTATAAAGACAGGCAGCAGAGGCCACGCGGCCATGCTGGTAGGTCCTGTGGGTAACGTCTACCTAGAACACTTCAGTCTACTCCTGGAGCCGGTCGCCGAGAAACGGAGCAAGCCCCGAACAACTCCTCTCAGGTTCCCCATCCAATCTCTGGCGAACCTTCCCACTTCCGAGGACATGATCAAAAGGGAAATGGCACAGGCGCCAGTAGGCTGGGAAACATTTCAGCGGCTGCAGGGTGTCGAGGTGCGCATTCGCAACCGCCACGATCTGACCAGGTCACCGTGGGCTAAGGATGGGATGGACTCCAGAAAAAGGTTACTGCAATCACGATCCCTCGAACTGGGCGCAGGGACGCGCGTGTACAACTGTGAGACAGCCGCAAACAGCTGAACTTAGGCAGATGGAGAGGGAAAACTATGGTACCTTACGGTCGGCGCACACGCGTTCGTCTTATCACCATTTGATGTCGTGTGAACACACAAGATCGCGTTGTTTGACCAGACAGCGCAATAGCGCAAACCTATCACAAATAATCATATGTGCACCGTGCGCGCTGTTAAAAATGACCCGGCGACCTCAGGGAGCAACATACATATAGGAAGACTGAACCCATGGCGAAGACTCAAGGAGACCAAGGCGCCTGCAATTACTTGCATCAGGGCGACCCGTAACTGGCGAAGCAGTACCCAAAGAAGGTGGAGGAGAGCAAAGGGAAGAAGGCCACGCCGAAAGACTTTCCGAAATCGCCGCCGCCAATGCTGGACAAACCTTGCCGGCCTGTGAGGCCATTCCGCGTGCAGCATGTTCTAGCGCTGGCAAAGTAGCCTGGGCCCGTTACCCACGTCTGCGAGCATGTTGTTAACTTGCTCGGCCGCTACGCCTCACGTCTGGGGTCGTCTTTGTTGGGGTCGGAGCGGAAGCCGCTGGTCTGATCGACTCTGATCGAGGTTAACTTCCATACCCCATCGTCGCAATACAAGTTTATCAAGTCCTGGAACCCGTCGGCTCCGAGCTCGATGTCGGCAGTAGCAGCAGCACGAGGACCAACATCTAATATCTGCAGCGCGCGCGGGAAGACGACTGCTGCACACTTCTGCGTAAACCCAGAGGGATACCAAAACGACTCCTGATAATATGCGACTGTCGCGCACGTCGGTCCACCCAGTCAACGTCGATGTTGGCCACTGCATCTTACAACCTCTTCGCCAATTACCTGTGGGTGAAGATCAACTGGTAAATTGTAACAGATCCCGTGAATTTGGCGCTGCTGCCGTCAACAACTTCTGTTGGAAGCTTGGGGAGGATCGTGGTCCGCCCCTATGGCTACATCTTCTTGCCGAGCACAGTGAAAGGAACTATGCAGATGAGGCGCTTGCACGGGTCAATGGGTTTGGCCTCATCACGACAAAGTTTCACTCCACCATCACATGGTACACGAGAGAAGCCAAGGATGGAAGCGGCACTCGAGGCCGCCCAGGAGCTGCCCGCACGAGACCCGTGCATCTGCCTGTGGAGGCCCGCTTGCGACTGGTCGATCTCGTTCACGCTGCGGTCGAACTTCGGATGTAAGTTCCGCACCTCCCCCTCCAGCCGGTCGATCAGGCTCGGGATTGTTCAGGACCGCCTCGGACTCACGGTTGGTCTCGACGGCTCGACGGGGGCTTGCTGGATCTGGGCCGCAACCGACTGAGTGAGTTGCTCCATCATCAAATTCGTCTGCTCAGCGGTGGCCGCGGCCATCTGCGGAAGATCCTGCGAAGCGGCTGGGCTGCGGGCGCGGAGGGGGGAGGGCAGGCCAGGAGATAGCGTGCACGTCACTTGGGCCGCTCACTGAGCTGCGATCAGAATCCAAGCGCCAGGAACGCACGTTTAAAACTTGAACCAAAATGGCTTCGGATACTACTGCTGTTGCTGCTGCTTCTGTTGATGATGATGATGATGATGATGATGATGGTGATGATGATGATGGTGGTGATGATGATGATAATGATGATGATGCTGATGATGATGATGATGCTGATGATGCTGATGATGATGATGATGATTATGATGATGATGATGATGCTGATGCTGATGCTGATGATGATGATGATGATGATGATGATGATGATGATGATGATGATGATGATGATGATGATGATGATGATGATGATGATGATGATGGTGGTGGTGGTGGTGGTGATGAACTGGGAAGAAATGAAGGGGCATGGAATGTGATGGCATGGAACGAAGATGATGCTGAGGAGGAGGAGGAGGAGGAGGAGGAGGAGGAGGAGGAGGGAGGAGGAGGAAGAGGGCGAAACGGAGGAGGAGGAGGAGGGAGGAGGAGGAGGAGGGAGGAGGAGGAAGAGGACGAAAAGGAGGAGGAGGCAAGAGCAGGCACTGGAGGGAGGAGCGGGAGCCCCGGCGCCTGGCCCGGCCAGGGCCGTGCTCGAGCCCCTCCCGGGTGTCTCTCGTGCCTCGCTCCCCGAGCAGCGCGCGGCCGTGGCGAGGAGAGGCCCCCCCCCCTCAGAAGGCCACAGAAACGACGAGCCCAGGCCCCCTCGGAGTAATGAAAAAATCATGACGGGAGGTTTTTCCCAATTTTCGGCCTCCGGGGGCCCTCACCGGGCCTCGGGAGCGTCAAGAAACGACTCAGGATGAAAAACCGGTCATGGGGAAAGGGTCGGGACCTCTGGGGGTCGACGTCACGAAAAAATCATGACGTCGGGGGTCTGGCAGGAGGGATGCGGTCTCCGGGGGGGGTGTCTCTCGCTGTCCCCGGGGGCCTCTGGAGAGCCCTGGAGATCTGCCAGCGGGAGGCCCAGACCCCCTCGAGCAAGGACGACCTCGTGACGGGAGGTTTCTCCTGATTTTCCGCCTCCGCGGGCCTATTTACTGGGCCTCGGGAGCGTCAAACAAACGACTCAGGATGCAAGGCCGTAATGAACAAACCATTACGTCGGGGGTCTGGGGAAGGATCGGGTCGGGCGAAAGGGGGGGATAGCAAAGGGGGGGGGGTGAGAATCAGCTCACGTAGCTGATTCTCACGGCGCCTCCCGGCGCCGGAGGCGGCTATGTATCGAGTAATGGGCCCCTCGGTGAGGCCGAAACCGATGGCATGCAGCAGATTTCGTACCCCCCCCTTTCCCAATCCCCCCCCTTTCGCCCGGCCCGACAGGAGGGTGGGCGCTCGCTGGGGCGCCATCGGTGCTCGTTTCTCAGTCTGCTTCCGGCTGTCTCAGTCGCTGTGCTCGGTTTGCTGTCGGGGGTCGCGGCGCGCGGGCGCGCCCGCGGGCGCGCCCGGGGGTCGGCGGCGTTGACGCGACGGCGACCGGCAGAGAGAAGAGAGGGGGCGGGCAGTGATACAGGGCAGTTTTTAATACATAGGTTTTAAAACATATGGAATTCTAATTTTAATACATGGTTCATTCACTAATCAATACATGCATAACTTCACCATTGTTTCTAATACAAAATCCCTTTATTTTTAATTCATGATCCGCACGCGGAGCATGCACAAAAACGGCACTGTACAGCAGCGGCTCGGCCACAGGAGAGCTTCCACAGGAAACCCAGCCCTGGAGCCTCAGGACGCCCACTGGTCCTTGATGTGGGAACGTCGCGATCTCCTCAGCAGAACCATCGAATCCCAAGGAACCCAGGGCACCCTGGAGGCAAGCAGGATGTTTCTTGGCATGGGTCTCAGGGATGCAGCGTCCCCAGGCGGCTGGGCTTCTCAGGAGCTGCCACCAGTGCCACTGCGGGTTTTGAAGGGGGGAGGGAGGAGGAGCAGGAGGAGGGGGGAGCAGGAGGAGGAGGAGGAGGAGGAGGACCAGACGGCGGAGGGAGGAAGAGGAGCAGGACCGGGAGGAGAAGGAGTCCTCCCAGACAGCCGGCCGCTCCAATGCTTTCGAGGCGTGGGCCCCGAAAGTCCCGACCACTCCCCCACGGCCGGCTCTTCGTCCCGACCTGTCTTTGGACAGTCCCGAGGTCCGGCGGGGGCCCCGCGGAGGCCGAAAGATCGACCCAGAACCCGCCGCTCCCATTGTTTTGGGGCGTCGGATCTCTGGGGACCCAGGCCCCCTCGAGTAATGAGAAAGTCATGGCGGGAGGTTTTTCCTGATCTTCGGCCTCCAGGGGCCCTCATCTTTGGACGCCCGAAATGGGTACGGAAAGAATGGGCACTATGCCCAACAACAAATGTTGTCCCGAACCAACAGCGGCCGCTGTTGGGCAGGCGGCCTTCTGCCTCGAATGGACACAGGCCGCGGCGGCGTGGACAGCGAGTCCTGTGCAAAATGAACAGGAACTGCTGTTGGGCATGGTACCCATTCTTTCCATACCCATTTCGGGCGTCCAGATCATCGGGCCTCGGGAGTATCAAAAACCGACTCAGGATGCAAAGCCGGTCATGGGAAAAGGGTCGGGATCTCTGAGGGTCGACGTAACGAAAAAAACATGACGTCGGGGGTCTGCGGACCCAAACCCCCTATGTCATGATTTTTTCAGTGCGTCGGCCTTCAGAGTTCTCGACCCCTTTCCCGGGACCGCTTTCTCACCCTGTGTCGTTTTTTGACAATCCCGAAGCCCGGTGAGGGCCCCCAGAGGCCGAAAACAGGGAAAAACCTCCCGTCATGATCTGTTCATGACTCGAGTTTGGACGCCCGACATGGGTACGGAAAAAATGCGTACAATACCCAACAACACATGTTGTTCCAAATAACAACAGCCGCTGTTGGGCAGGCGGCCTTCTGTCTCAAACGGACTCGGCGGCGGCGGCGCGGACAGCGAGTCCCGCTCAAAACGAACGGGAACTGCTGTTGGGCATTGCACCCATTCTTTCCGACCCGGTTCGTTCGTGCCGATCCAGGGGGTCTGGGGAGGCCCCTCCGCCGCTCCGGTGGGAGGAGGAGGAGTAGGAGGAGGAGGAGGAGGAGGAGGAGGAGTAGGAGGAGGAAGAGGAAGAGGAGGAAGAGGAGGAGGAGGGGGAGGAGGAGAGGGAGGAGGAGAGGGAGGAGGAGGGGGAGGAGGGAGGAGGAGGAGGAGGAGGAGAAGGAGGAGGAGGAGGAGGAGAGGAGGAGGAGGAGGAGGAGGAGGAGGAGGAGGAGGAGGAGGAGGAGGAGGAGGAGAAGGGGGTCCTGCCCCCCGCGGGCCGGGGTCACGTGCGGCGCGCGACGGACTTTTCGCACCCAGCGCGGCAGCGAGGTCGAGGGAAGGCAGCAGCGGCTGGAACGCTCGCCACGACCACCCGTCCGGGGCCCCCCTGCTCGCGGCAGGGGAGGGCGAGGGGGGAGAGAGGAGCAGAGGGAAGCAGAAGCTTTCTCGCCAGAGATCCGAGGCTCCAGCAAGAACGGGGGCGGCGGGTTTTGAGCCGTGTTCGGCCTCCGGGAGCCCTCGCGGGACCGCGGGAGCGTCAAAAAATGACTTTGGACGGACAACCGTCCCCAGGGAAGTGGTCCAGACCTCCGGGGCCCACGCATCGAAAAAATTGGAGACGGCGGCGAGGGTCTCAAAAGCCGCCGACGATATTGGCACGCGCTCCTCCTCCCGGGGCGCCTCCTGGCTGGGCTCCCCTCACGTCGTGGCCCGCACGTGCCCGGAGATCGACATCTATAGAGGAGGCAAGAGAGACAGCGAGGAGCAGACTCCGGCGCGATTCTCCCCCCAGAGATGCGCGGTGCCCCGACCTTCCCAGCACGCGGGGCCCCCAGGAGTCCCGTCTCTCCCTCCCCCCAGGAGCAGCGGCTCATCCCGAGTCGCTTTGCTGTTTTCCACTCCCGGGGCCTGGCCCGGGCCCCCGCGAGCCCACCGCGGCAGAGAGCACGCCTCCCGCTGCGGACTTGTCCTCGCCACCCGAGCCCCGATCGGGGCCCCGAAGCGGGGCGAGGGGGGCGGGCGGAGGAGAGGAGCCCGCGACGAGGGCCTCTGCAGGCGAGCGCCGCAGGCGCGCAGCGCAGCGCGGCGCGGGCAGAATAACGTTGTGGGCACCCGCGACGCCAGCGGTCGCTGGGCAGGGCGGACGCGGCAAGGTCAGCGCCGCGTCGTGAGACCAAGGGAAAAAAGAGCACACGGGGCGGGGACGGGCCGCCGGCCTCGAGCCCGTGGCCCCTGCCCCTGAGCCGGGGCGGGGCGAGGCCAGGGCCATGGGACGAACTCGGACCGGGGCAGACTGGGGAGCTCTCTGAAAATCCCGGGGGGCCACACGCGAACCCTGCCCCTGCCGCCCACGATGTCTGAGGGTGAGGGTGGGGTTCACTTCCTTCGGGAGCTCCCGAGCGAAGTGAACCCCACCCTCCCCCTCAGAAATCGTGGGGGCTATAGGGTAGGGTTCGCATGTGGCCCCCTAAATCCAGCGACTCTGGAGAATGCGGTTTCGTGATACTTTGTCCTTCCCGGGTAACGGTCGTGGGGGGGGGGGGGTTCGGGCGGGAGGGCAACGAGAACGGCGGCCGCGGCGTGCAAGGGTGCATCCGCTCCACTAGCGCATCAATCGCCCGTGTGCACAACGCCATGCCTGCGAGCGCCACAACACGCTGGTGAGTACCAAAGCAAGCCTCTCCGCATCAACCCCTTGCGAGCACAACGCCACACCCGCGGCGGGGCCTTCCTCAGCATATGTGGGAGGGTCGAGCCCCCCCCCCCAATACGATCGCTCGCGCCACCTGCTGTGGGGCGGGCTTGGCCCAGGTAACCCGGACCCCCAGTGTCGTGATTTTTGTTCAGAACGTCGACCCTCAGATGTCTCGACCCCTTCCCCAGAGACGGTTTCTCATCCTGAGTCGTTCGTTGGCGGCCCCGAGGCCCGGTAAGGGCTCACGGAGGCCGAAAGTGGCGAAAAGCCTCCTGTCGTGATTCTTGTCACAACGCGAGGAGGTATGGGAAAGATCATCACCCCGGGGAGGAACAGCAGAAGCTTACTTGTCCCAGTCCTGGGCCCGCCCGATGCACTGAGAAGGGGGCTCCTACACTCAGGTCGGGCATGTCCCCCCACAGGCCGATTCTGGACGGACAGATGAAACATCGCCAAACCATCTTCCAACGAGTCACCAAAAGACAAACTCGAACAAATGTCCCCAGGCTACTTGTTGACTACTTTTGAGTAGACTCCTCCTGTAGAGGGACAGGCCCGACATAATTCGACCGGGCAGTTTTTAACACATGGGATGTTTATAAACATCTAGGGTTCTGATAAATTAATGAATATTTTACGCATGAACTCGTTGTTGTTTTAACACTAAACCCCTGCATCTTTAATACATGATCCGCACGCGGAGCATGTATTCAAAACGGCACTGTACACACCTCAGCGCTGCCACGCCTGGCCACCCGGGTGCGGCGCCCGAGGGCAGGGCGGGCGGGGGCCGAGGGCCTGCACGGGTCCAGTGACAGGGGGCCGGGGGCACACGTCGGCGGCCGGGCAGAGGGTCTGCGCTGGCGAGCAGAGCGCAACAGGGCAACTGAAGGGGCCCTGGGACACACACACACACACACACACACACACAAATAAACAGATTCCTTATATTTTCCCACGTTTTCTGGGTTTCTGTCTTCCCCCCCACTTCCCATATTTTCCCATATTTTCTGGGAATCGAAGATTAATTGTGTCTGTGTGTTTTTCCCCTCCTGAGCAGCGTCGGGCGACTTCGGCCACCGTGCCAGGGCCCGGGGCCGCACCAACAGAGAGACACACGTGCCAGGACTCCCCATCCTGCTTCTGCTTTGCTCTGTGTGGAAGGTCGCCTTCCCCTGCTAGAGGACTCCCCGATGGGGTGCGGGTAATTAGATGGGGTCGGGAGATCGTGCCGCATCGCCAATACATCGGCGCTGCATCGCCGATGCATCCGCGATGTATCCGCGACGGCGGCGACGTATCCGTGCCGTTGGAGAGGAGAAAACAAGGCTCCACATAGAGCCGCATCGCCGATGCATCGGCGATGCGGCGCGATCCTCCGACCCGACCTGCTCGGACAACCATCAGGGAGGCCTAGACACTCGCCTCCCATGTTTTCCCACAGTTTCCCGGGGATCGTCGACAATTTGTGTCTGCGTGTCCTGTCTTTCCTTTTGGATGACCCAAAAGGGGGTTCAGCTGAAATGGGGTGGTGCAATATATAGACTTGGGGCAATTCTGTTGCAAACGTCTTGCGCCGGAGAACTGTACTGCATCGTATTGCAAGTAGCGCACGGCACGCGACAGCACAGCCACACATCTGGGCCCCGACGTGTACGGCACGCCCCAAGTGAGTTGCAGCCCCACAAATCTATTGTTAAGTCGGGCGTGCCCCCCTACAGGGAAATTTTCGACGAAAGGTACAAACTACCCCAGAAATAATCAAAAAATAGTCCAAAAACAGTCCGGGGATTATTTGTTGAGTCTCTTGGTTAACCTTTTGGGGGTATTTCTGGGGTATTCTTTATTTTTCATCGAATATCTTCCTGTAGGGGGACAGGCCCGACTAAATCTATTGCACCGAATCTGTTGCACCACCCCCTCGTCGCCGGACCCCCTCTGGGGTCAACCCGACTCCTGCTCTGCACCGCCGTGACGGGGCCCTCTCGAGGCGCCCGGCGCCGGGCGCGGCGGCGGTGTGCTGCAGACGACCCTCTCGCGGGCCCGAGCCGCACGGCCCCGCCCAATTTGGGCTGCCCTTCGACGCAGGCAGGCCGAGAGCGCTCGCGCGGGGGTCGGACCCGTCGGGCCTTCGACTTGGCGATCCCTCCCCAATCAGTGCTTGCTCGGGCGTTGGCAGAACTGGGTTTCGTGGAACCTGGCTTAGTGATCTGTACCGGGGGCGCCCCCCCCGTCCCATTTCCACTCACCGGAACTGCCATCACCCGAAAAACACCAGTCACGACAGACCTGGTTTAGTGATTCTGGCCAATTGAGGGGCCCCAGGGCCCTAACACTAACCGGGTCCCCTTACCCGGGGTCCTGGCTATACCCGACTTGCACTGAAAGGGGTCCTGGCGGCAATGGCTAGATTCGGCGAGGGCTTTCCCGCCGACTTCGGCAGCCGGCGGGGTTCCCGGGTTCCCGCTTCCAGATTCCCGGGCTATTCCTGGTTATTGGTTCCGGGCCGATTTCGGTGGGTTCCGGGTTCCCGGGTGCCTGGGTTCCTGGTCGATCTCCTGATCGATCTCTTCATCGATCCCATTTCAAACCATCCATTGGTTGGGGATTGATTTCCCCTGGTGTAATCAGACCCTCTGGGACGCGCAGGGACATGCTAATACTCGATGTCCTCCCTGGAGGCGCGCTTCCGACCCGAACAGATAGTATACCCATCTTGTAACACATCGGCTCCCGAGCGGTGTGGCCAGAAGGCGCCCGCCACGGAGCATGTACTATAAGATTTCTCGGTGCGCGCGTCGCCCCTGGGGAGGCGACGCACACACAGTACTACTATGTGTCGGGGTGAGGCCGACCTTTTGACCACTTCGCGGGGGCCAGCCCTCCATGCCCAGATCCACGCCTGATTCGGCGACTCCGAAGGGTGTGTTTTGCAAAGGGTGTGGTGTGCAACCGGCACCCTGCGGGGCACCCTGGGGGGCGGGCGAGGACCTCGACAGAGCTCTCCGCCGCGCCCCGAGGAGGCCCAACGAGGACAGTGTCGTGCCCCTCAGGCCCCGACGGTGCCGATCGCAAACCACACCCCGGCGTAACCACACCCTTTGTAGTCGCCGACTGATGGCCCGGGGTCCGGATCATCGCTTCGTCCGACGCCGCACACAGACCCCCAGCGCCCGGCATCGAGCCGACGGGCTCGCTGGCGGCTCTGCCGGGCGGCCCTGCTGGGCCCGAGTGGCCCGCATCGACGGCCTCGTGGGGGCTCGCCCCCTCGAGAGCCGGGAGCCGTTCTGGCCCAGACGTGCGACGTCCTGGCCTCTTCCAGACGCGGCCCCCCGGATGTCCCGGCCCCTTCCCTGGGGGGCGGGTTTCCTGAGCCGTTTGTCTGTCTGTCCTGGGGCCCGGTGAGGGCCCCAAGAGGCCGGAAACGGCGAAAGACATGCGGTCCTAATTTCCTGTCGCGACGCAAGCCTGTCCGGGTTTCCAGAGCAGCGCATGTCGTCGCGCCAGTTGTTCTGGAGACGCCCAAGTCGACGACGCCGACACCACGGCAGACCCACGGCCATCCCTTCGTCCCGCGCCCAAGCAGACGAAGACGGCACCGCGGCGAACCCATGGCAAAAGCACCCCGCCCGAGGCCGCGTCTGCCCTGGTGGCCCGAGCGCCCTCCCCAACCAAGACGCACGGCCCGGCGCTAGGACAAACGGGGGAGAGCCCGGAATCGATTCCATAACTAAGTCGGATCGGCGATCGAAACCAATCGGAATGGCGATATCGGGGGCCGAATCAGGCGAAGTCGATTCGGCAGAGATCGGCAGGCTGGTAGACCTCCGGGGAGGAGCCGGGACCCAAATCGGAGCCCGAAGCCGCACCGAATCGGAATCGGAAGCCGCCGAAATCGAAGCGAGCCGGATCGGAGGAGTCGCCCAGAGCCCTGCAAACGGCGCGGCGATACGCGGCGGATCCAAAAACGTGTTCATCTCTTGGGAGGCGTTTGTTTTACTGCCGCCACCTTCCGCCGCCATTCCACACACACACACACACACACACACACACACACACACACACACACGCGCACTACCCCCAATGATCCTTCGGCGCAAGAGGTCTCGTGAGGGGCTCTAAACTACCGTGCGAGCGGCGCTGGTATGGGCACTATGCTAAACCAGAAGCCCGACGAAGAGCGAGCAAAGGCAGGTGGGTATCTTCGTGCCCCAGCCGCGCCCCTGCGCGCCTCGCCGCCACTCCGCCCGCTTCCGCCCGCGGAGGCTGGTCTCGTGCTGCTGCCGCCGACCTGCCGCCGCCCTCCGCCGAGCAAGAGAGGGCAACTCCTTCGGCCCTCGAAGGCGGGACCCTCTTCTGGAGCGCCACACACGGTGGTGCAATATGCCAGCATCGGTTGAGCAGGGACCGACCGTCCTGGCATTCCCATAGGCCTAACGCAAGACATGGTCCTAGAGCCCAAACATGTTCCGAGCAGCAAAGCAATGCTCTCATAACAAAAGAACGGTCCCAGCCAGAAATGTTCCAAGAACATCTCGTGGAAACCACAAAAGGTTCTTAGAACATTGCTTGGTAGGCCTATAGGCACGCCAGGACGCCTTGCCACGGCTAGAACAAGAAAAGGGTACACAAACATAAAAACTGTTGGCGCTCCGCGTGGATTTCTTGGATTCGCGCTGGACCCCCCTCCCTGGCGCGCGGAACGCGCCAGGGGCGGCGCCGGAGGCGCCGCCGGGGGGCCCAGGCGCGAATCCAAGAAATCCACGCGGAGCGCCAAAAGTTTACGTTTGTGTGTTTTTTCTTCTTCGTTCGAAGGCAGGGCCCTCTTTTGGAGCGCCCCACATGGTGGTGCAATGTGCAAGCATCAGGGGCAGGGGGGCGTGCTCCAGGCTGGGCAGACAGGAGCGGCGGGTGCCCAACCCTCGGGAGCACGGCGGCCCGAGGAGGAGGAGGAGGAGGAGAAGGAGGGAGGAGGGGAGGGGGAGGAGGAGGAGGAGGAGAGAGGAGGAGGAGGAGGAGGGAGGAGGAGGAGAGGAGGAGGAGGAGAGGAGGGAGGAGGAGGGAGGAGACAGGAGGAGGAGGGAGGAGGAGGAGGAGGAGGAGGAGGGAGGGAGGAGGAGGAGGAGGAGGAGGAGGAGGAGAGGAGGAGGGAGAAAGGAGAGGAGGAGGAGGAGGAGGAGGAGGGAGGAGGAGGAGGGGAGGGGACGGGTCGCCAAAGTCCTTCGGAGAAACCCTCCGCTCCAGGCTGGGCAGACAGGAGCGGCGGGTGCCCAGCCCTCGGGGGCACGGCGGCCCGAGGCGTACCCCCCTTGGCGAGAGGCTCCTCGCCGATGCGCCGCCGGCTCCTGCAGCTCCCTCCCCGTCCTCTCCTCCTCTCCTCCTCCTCCTCCTCCACCTCCTCCTCCCTCCTCTCTCCTCCTCCTCCTCGTCCTCCTCCTCCTCCACCTCCTCCTCCTCGCCCTCCTCGTCCTCCTCCTCCTCTTCCTCATCCTCCTCCTCCTCCTCCTCGTCCTCCTCCTCCTCCTCGTCCTCCTTCCCCTCGCCCTCCTCCTCCTTCCTCCTTACTTCCACTTCGTTATATATAACTCCGCCCTGTCGCACACCGAAGCCAGTCGAAAGGGCGGGCCGGGCGTTTCGCCCGAGACTGCCTCATCACTCAGGACCCTGATGCTGAAACAGTGGCAACTTTCACCGATGGAGGGCGGGTGGCTTTCAAACTGTGGCTCTCGCCGTAGCGCCGCGCGCGCTCGTCTGAACACTTGGCAGGCATTTCACTGACTGGGGGCGGGTCGCTCTCAGAATGTGGCTCTCGCCCCAGCGCCGCGCACATTCGTCTCAAATATTTGCAAGACCTTCATGGGTTGAGGGCTGGTCGTGTTCAAAATGTGGCTCTCGCCGTAGCGCCGCGCACGTTCTCTGCAAAGTCTGCAGGATCTGCCTGGCTTGAGGGCGGCCCGGGTTCGAAATGTGGCTCTCGGCTTCGCGCCGCGCACATTCGTCTCAAACATTTGCAAGAACTTCATGAACTGAAGGCGGGTCGTTTTCAAAATGTGGCTCTCGCCTTCGCGCCGCGCACATTCATGTGAAAACCAGTGCAAAGATTCGCAGATTCCCATGGTCAACGTACCAGACATGGTGTCTTGGAAGGACTCAGGATCGTGATGGTGCAACAGTTACGTTGGCTCGCTGTGTAAAGGGCCCAGGTATGGTGTTCTGGCATGATTCAGGATCGTCAAGACAATCAGGTTGACCCGTGGAGTTGGAGCCACGAGATAGGTGTGTTGGCAAGCTTCAAAGTCTTCAAACGGTTATCTCTCAGCGAGGCAGTTCCCTCAGTGGAAGTGAGCCCTTGCAGGGGCATGTGAAGAGAGAACTTGGAGGGAGGGTTAATTCCAACATCGCTAATGAGTCTTGGGCTTGCACTTGTCCTCCACCTCCTCCTCCTCATGCTGCTCCTCCTCCTCCTTCTCCTCCTCCATGAGGGCCTGGTGTTTCAATTTTTCGGAGCCGGGCGTCTTCGCCCAGATGCGGGCCCCGGGACCCTCACAAATCGATCGGGCTCGAAGAATGGGAGGCTCCCGTCGCGATTTGTCGAGATGCTTCAACTTTTTCGAGACGTCGGATCTCAGGGCTGCGGCTTTCTCTTCCTGCCCCCAAGGCGGCACCAGAGCGGAGAAACGCAGGGATGCTTCCCTCTCGCCCCTCTCGCCCCCTCTCCTCCCCCTGCTACTCCCCTTCCCTCCTCCTGCTCTCTCCTCCTGCTCTCTCCTTCTCCTCGTCCTCCTCCGCCTCCCCCTCCTCCTCCCTCCTCCTCCTCCTCCTCCTCCTTCTCCTCATCCGCCTCCGTCGATGTCGCCCGCGTCCTCTGTCACCCCTCCTCCTCATTCAAAGCCGCGCTTTCGCCGGAGGCCCCCTTGCAAGCTCTAGGAATCAAAAATGCGTCCGTTGCGCTGTTGGGGGGTGGCTGGTGTCTGAAAGAGCCCTTTCGCCTTATCACTGCCGAAATTTCCGCTGAAAGTTACCACTAGCCAAAGGGATGGGAGGCACTTCCGTCCCAACCACGACGCGTATGGGCCCACAGTGAAATTTGAACACAAGTGCGAGCACGGCTCCCCACTGTGAGAAATCGCTTCTCCAACGGCCACCCTGTCTGGCAGGGCCATGGTCGGCAACACGTGAACACTGATCGGGGAAGGCACCCCCGTAGGCGTGAGGCCGGTGCCGATTCTGCGGGGAAACGGGGCTCGTCGCTGATCCACGCGCCCTGCGTCGCAGGGGCGCCTCCTCGGCGTGGGGCGGCGGCCCTTTGGCGGCGCGCAGAAGGGGAGCAGGGGGAGGAGGGAAGGCTTCTCAGAAGCAACCTGCTTCTTAGAATGCCCAGGCCTTACGCCTATATCTGAGGCCCGCGCCTTCTAAGAGGCAGGGGTGCCTCCCCCTTCTAAGAAGCCGTCCCCTCCTTCCAAGAAGCCCTCCCCTCTTCTAGATAAGGTCCCCACGTCAAAGAAGCCTTCCCCCTTCCCCCAGGACTCTCAGACCCAGAACTCGCGGCAGCACCAACCTCCAACTCCCGCGGATGTCCGTAGCGCGAGGCAGGCCCGTGGGGTGGGTCTTCACCACTCCCGCGGGCCTCGCATGGGGGAGGCGGGTCCTGATAGACGAGCGCGTTCCACTCCTCGCAAGGTAACTAATCGCAAGAGGCCTGGATTCGCCGCGGGGGGTGTACGATACATTACATGGAGGCAGGCACGTGCTTGTCTGACGCTTGCGAGCAGGCACTTGGCGAATGACTCGGAAGGCACTTGGCGAGCACGCTTGGGGAACGCGCTCGGTGACCTGAGGGAAATGGGAACTGGACCCTGGGGGCCTTCCCCGGCCGCCAGGACCGAGTCTTCATCTTGAGCCGGTTCCTGGCAGCCCCGGGGGCGAGAAACCTCAGGACCCGTTCTCCCTCAGGACCCGCTTCCCGAATGGCGAGCGGGCCGTAGCCGCAGCCGCGTTGCGGGTGCCTCCCCGCGGGGAGGGAAACTGCGACGAGGGTGGTGTGCTGCGGCGCGCATGGTGCGCGGTGGGTGTCTCTGGCTCTCCTTCCCCGCTACCGCCTCCATGTCCTCGCGTTCGCTCAACTCCTGATCGCGCGCCTCCGTTGTTTGTGGCTTCCTCCTCCTGGCCCGAAATTGGACACCTGATGGGCGACACGCAGGGACACCCTCCTCTCGCCCACACTTCTTCACCCAGCTGCTGAACTTCCCTCCTCCTGCTCTCTCCTGCTCTCTCCTGCTCTCTCCTGCTCTCTCTTGCTCTCCTCATCCACCTCCTCTTCCTCCTCTTTCCCCTCCTCCTCCTCCTCCTCCTCCTCCTCCTCCTCCTCCTCCTCCTCCTCCTCCCCGCTCCTCCCCCTCCTGTTCATCATCCTGTTCCCCTCCTTCTACACCCAATCCTTCTCCTCTCCCCGCTTGTCCTCCTCCTCCTCATCATCATCACCATCACCATCATCATTATCAGCATCATCAACATTATTATAACCACCTCCATCATCAACATCATCAACTTCATCAACATCATCATCATCACCATCACCAGCATCAGCATCAGCATCATCATCATCATCATCATCATCATCATCATCATCATCAGCATCAGCATCAGCATCAGCATCATCATCATCATCATCATCATCATCATCATCATCATCATCAGCATCAGCATCAGCATCAGCATCATCATCATCATCATCATCATCATCATCATCATCATCATCATCATCATCATCATCATCATAAGCATCATCATCAGCATCATCATCAACATCATCATCTTCCTCCTTCCTCCTTCCTCCTTCCCACTCCCTGCTCCCTCCTTCCTCTTGCTTTCCCTCGCCCTCAACCTCTCCTCATCAACCTCCCCCGGTCCCCAGCCCTGCTCTCGCATCCAGCCCTCCTCCCCAGCCTTCCTCCCCCCTCACCCCTCGTCCTCCCCCCCCCCTCCCTACCCATCTCCGCCTCCAACCCCTGGCCAAGCCGCAGCCATACCCGCAAAGAGGATGTGCACCCGCCGCCCTACAAGGTCACAGGCGTTCGGCAATGCTATGGCAGATGCGAGGAAAAACAGCCTCTGGCGGCACTCGTGGGGGCAAGGCCATGGCAATCAAAACCGCAGTGCCTCCAGTGGGGAGCAAGAGAAAGAGCGGACCTGCCCGATACTCTCTTCCTGCAAGCCCCTCCCCCGTAAGGTTGATGAGCATCGTTGGTCCACAACCATGTTTGCCTTCTCTGGTTGCTGGATGTTGTCTCTGTGTTACGCATGCTGGTAACAGTTGGTCAGTTTTATTCGCGCAGTGCCTCCGCCTCCCTTCCTCTCCTCTTCTCCTGCCTGCTCCCTCTTGGGCAGTTCGTATTCATAATTACGCATAGTCCAACCCACTCACACTCAGAAGCGATCTCCAAGCGGGCCACGAGACCCTCAAGACGGTCTACGAAGCACCAAGAGAGCTCCAAACTCAACCCCAAAAAGGCCCCACGAGGCCGAAACCACAGACGCCGAACAGATTTGCAAAGGATTCGGGCGCCCTTAGCCTTTTCGACCTCTCAACGCT